CAATCATTTTGGGGCTTGCGAAAAGGCATTTGGGAATGAAAAAATGTTGATACGCCTGCGAACGCATAGGGAAACAGCGCTGTTGCCGCAGCCACCAGCGTGTCAGTTCTTGGAAAGTTTAAACTCCACAAGCTCGAAAACCGTAACCGATATCAATATTTCTCCTGAAACAAATTTTTTCGCTAATTTTATCGGCTAATCAGAACTTTTTGCCAATTGGGCAAATGGCGAGAATTGGCGAAGTTACGGGCAAAAGAATGGCGAGATGCACAGGCTTGGGAGTTTGGCGCTTGTCAACTTTCAAAGCCCCGTATCTCCCAAACCGTTGCAGATATTGGCCCGAACATAAACACTAGAGTTATAGAGAATCAAATTTGCGATCCCCCTGGGAAAGTGGTTTTGCGCTGGTGCGGACAGTGGGGACGCTGGGAGCAAAAGAAGACGCTGACTTGATGTGGACACAGTTGGAGCCCTCCTAACTTAAACCTCACCTTGTGCCCAAACGGAGCCGAAACGCGTTTTTAGTCCAGGGCACTTTTTTTCTCAAAAATGGCCTGGGAAGTGAAAAATACAGAAAAAGCAAAAAAAATTTTTTCAAAAAATGTTCAAAAATTTTCCAATTTTTGTTCTAATTTCTAAAACCTCGTCGAGTCGCTTGGGGCCGTCTACTAAAGTGTCGGAACCTTGCGGAGTGAAATCAGCCGAGTTCCGGCCCAAAGAGTGCGCTTCCAGACATCATCAACCTCTTCAGGTCCTCTCAAAGTCCTTCACGTTAGAACCTCAGTTTCCCGGGAACTGGTTCCAGATATCGATTTTCCGCTAAACCAAGTTTTTGTAGCCAATTGAATTGGCTTCAACTGGCTTTGGAGCGCGAAGCGCAATTATCAGCCCTCAACGAGTTATGAGGGAAAGAGTGAGGGTTGATTGGAGAAACGCAGCTGTAGCACTAGCCAGTTTTTGAGGCCACGTATCTCCAAAAGGAGTGAAGATACGGGGATTTTCACGGACATCGAGTTTAGCGCAAATGCAATTGCCTGCCCACTGGAATATTCACGGGGGCAAAATATTGGAAATTGGCAGAGTTATGGGGGAAAGAGTGCAGTAGCTGGGCGAGGCCCACGATGGCAACTTCCCAAAATCCCCACTCAGTTTTCTCGCCAATGGTTGCAGCCAGCGCTTTTAGTGTAGACAGCAAAGTTTTGCCTAATTACTCGCCCTTTGAGCTGCTGCTGGAATTTTCGCAAAATTCCGCCAAATAAACGAGTTACGAGGCAAAGAGTGAGTGAGCGCAACTGGCTGGTTCAGCGCTTTAAAGCCGGGTTTGCTCGAAAAAAACTAAACTTAAACTGGTACCTTTGCCGCTTGCGCTCGACTGGAGGCCGGTGGCTGGCCGATGGGGCTTCGGCCTCGAACTGGGCCATGAGATCGGCCACCACCGCGCTGTCCTTCTCCGGCTCGCTCAGCGGCTTTTGGGGCTCGTTGGGCAGCGCCAGGCCCGGGAATTTGCACGCCAGCGTCTCCTTCAAGGGGGCGCCCGCGACCGGCTGGCCCTTCTTCACTCGCATGTGCTGGATGATGCGCAGCAAGTTCGCGATGAAGGAGTCCGAGAATTCGGCCCCGTTTTCCAGCAGGGCGCGCTTGAACGACTCGGTCGTGTTGTTGCTCTCGGACAGGTGGATGATGAATTCGGCTGAAATTGTGCGGGTTTAGCGCTGGGCCTTTAGCCCTGCGGGGCCCTCGTGTTTACTCACCCAAGTCCTTGTCGTTCATGCCCAGATGGTTCTCCAGCTCGGTGCACACCTTGGACACCAGCGAGAGGTACTCTAGTTTGTCGACTTCGTCCATTTTTTGAGGAATTTGGCCCCAAAACGCTTTGTTTTCACTACTCAATAACAACTAACCTCTAATTGAATGACAGCCGCTACTCTCTGTTGACATATTATAAGCGGGGCTTTGCCCACGCCCTCTAGCTTCTAGGACTTCAACCAACCCAACCCAACCCAAACTCGTTCATTTGCAGCGCAATTAAATTTAAAAAATCTCCTTTTTCAGACCGCAGGTCCACGACGACCCACACGCTGCTCCAGCAGACGTCCCGACAATCCCCGCAAATAAAACACGAACACGTCCAAAAGCGGGGTTGCCAACACCCGCGTTTATTTGCTTCTAGTTCTAGCTGGAAAGGGGGTCCAGCGTGAAGTGGGGCCAGGTTTTCAGTTCGGCGTAGAGTCGACTGCCCGGGCTGGCCGTGGCGGTCACCTGGCGGCCCCCAAACAGCCTGTACTGCTCGTGCAGCTCGCCCATGGCAACGCCGCACGCCAGCAGGCGGCGCAGCGCCTGCAACATGGCCGCGTCGGGCCGCTCGTCTGAAACACACAGAGCTGGCAACAGGGCGGCGGCCACGCTACCGGGGGTACCTGAGAAGTTGCCGATGAAGGCGACGCCGATGGATTTGGTGTTGTAGCCGCGCGTGTGCGCGCCCACTTTATGCCAGCCGGCGCCCTCGTACACGCGCCCGTCACCGCCAATCATGAAGCTGGAAAACTGCGTTCGTGAATGCTGTTTTGGGGCGCCCGGGGGCCCCTGGGGCTTACTTGTAGCCGATGTCCGGGAACTCCAGGGTGTCGATCTGGAAGTTCTGGATCTCGCGCAGGGTGCCCGCGCATTGGCTGCCGCTGGAGCAGCCTGGGGTGACTGTGTGGTGGACGACTACGTTCCTGACTGGTATGATGCTGTAGTCGACCGCGAAGGGGCGCCGGGCGCCCCAATCCGCGCGGCTCACCGTCAAATTGGTACACTCAACCTTGGGGGGCTCCGCTGGGGCTGCGCCCCTTAAACTCGCCAGAAGCAGGCAAAAACACGCAGTTTTCATGGTGCAAACTCAGCTGGAAGCGCGATGACCTTTGCATTTATTGCTGATATCTGCAGGTTGAAATGGGGGGAAAATCCGCGCAGTTTCCCTAACGCCTGCCGCATTTTCCACAGCTATTTTTCAGAAAATCGCCGAAAAATTCCTTCGTCCCCGAAAAAGCTTCCGGGGGATTTTCCCCGTGATTTTCCCGGTGGAAAATTGGATAATTGCAAAGAACCGCGCCCCCAGCGGCGTTGCCACAGCATCAGGCCCCAGTCCCAGACAGCTGGCGTTGGCACTGACAGCAGCCCAGTTGAAAGAGCGCAGTTAACAAAGTTTCCCAGCCGTTTTCGTAAAAAACTCAAAAAAGCCCCAAAAAGCCCCAAAATTGTTCCAGTGATTCGTGCGATCCGCTCCCCCCAGTCCGCCCGGCCCGCAATTGAGGTGATTCCCCCCAGTGAGGCTCCAGGTGAGTGAACCCAATCAGCAGGGGTCAGCGGAAACTTTGGCCCCCAGCTGCTCCTTATCGCCGCCAATTGGCCCAAAACCGGTTGGGCTGCGGCCGACTTTGACCTTTGCCCCCGCTGGCCCAGCCCCCATCCATGCTCAGCGTGTGGGACTTGGTTGGTGGAGCCCCCCGTCCCCATTCCGCTGTAGGGCTGCGCTAATTCACGGGGGGGATTGTTGCAGGAGCGCAGCGCGATGTCCCATTACAGTGACGCCGAAGACTCGCTCACTGAGACGGAGCACAGCGGCATCAGGCAGCGGAAGCTGTGGGACCCGGAGTCCGAGTCCATCGCCTCCGAGTTCAAGGATCTGCTGGAGGACGATGCCAATTCTCTGGTGAGTGCCTCCATAGAGCCTCGTCTCATCGGGCTTCAGAAGGTTTTGGGGAGGCCGATGCGGCTCAGTCGGCTCTCGGGTTTTTATTGGGTTTTCCGTTTTGGGGCTCGAGTTGGCCCTGCGGGTGGCGCACTAGAGTGCGCCCCATTGGGCGCCCGAATCACCCCAGAGTGACTTTTGGGCTTAGTGATAGTTAGGGGCGCATCCGCCATTTAGTGAAGGCAAGTTGTTGCAGGTGGAGGAGGACTGTGTGGGGTGCCCGTTGCCCTCCACTCCGGAGGACGAGAACGTGCTGGACTCCGAGATGAGTGACGTCCTCAAGGCCGCCGTGCTAGGTACAGGTAGAGTAGTGTTGGCTATTTCCCTCGTACTGTCCGCCTCCCTGCAACTGTTTGCGGTTTCTGAGCGTTCTGAAGCTCGCGCGCCCCCTCCGCTCGTTCTCCTCGCCCCCCAGTGTCCCCGCGGTGTTTGTTTCGCATAATCACTAAACCAGGTTTTCTCTTCTGTCTGCCCCTCGCCCACCCGAACCACCCCAATCACTCAACTAGCCGCCTTGTTGCCGAAATTTTCAGGCGACGAGCTCGACATCAGCACGCTGGCGCACAGTGCGGCAACGCAGGCCGAGCACGTGGTGCGAAAGATGATCGCAGTGGGCTGGAGCGTGCGCCACTTCCACCACTTGCCCGATTGGCTGCAGGTAGGCGGGGCCAGCGACGCGATTGGCCGGGTTGTAACGGGGGGCGGGGCTTGTTGCAGGACAACGACTTTTTGCAGCGCGGCCATCGGCCGCCCTTGCCCAGCTTCCGGGAGTGTTTTCGCAGCATTTTCCGCATCCACACCGAAACTGGGAACATCTGGACGCACATGCTGGGATGTGTGGCTTTCATCGGTAATTTGCGCGGCGTTTGACCCGGTTGGGGGATTGATTTGTGTGCCCCTTGCAGGAATTGCCATCTATTTCCTGATGCGGCCCACGCTGGAGATCGAGCTGCAGGAGAAGATCGTGTTTGGGGCGTTCTTCGCCGGCGCCATCATCTGCCTGGGGTTCTCCTTCATGTTCCACACGGTCAATTGCCATTCGCAGTTCGTCGGCAAGCTGTTCTCCAAGCTGGACTATTGCGGCATCGCCCTGCTGATCATGGGCAGCTTCGTGCCGTGGCTCTACTACGGCTTCTACTGTCACTTCAAGCCCAAGGTGAGTCGACGTCTAGGCGACGCGATCCGCACTAATCGGGGAACCGTAGGTGATCTACTTGTCGGTGGTGTGCGCGCTGGGGATCACCAGCATCATGGTGTCCCTGTGGGACAAGTTCTCCGAGTCGGGCTGGCGCCCCTTTAGGGCCGCAGTCTTCATGACCTTTGGGCTGAGCGGCATCATCCCCGCCATCCATTTCGGCGTGGTGGAGGGCTGGTTCACCCACGTGAGCCAAAAGTCGCTGGGATGGCTGATTCTGATGGGGGTGAGTGATCGGTTCCCTGGGCGCGCGCCATGCTCAAACCCGCCGGTTTCCTCCGGCAGGTTCTCTACATAATGGGCGCGATGCTCTACGCCCTGCGCGTGCCGGAGCGCTGGTTCCCCGGCAAGTTCGACATCTGGTTCCACTCGCACCAGATCTTCCACGTGTTTGTGCTGGGCGGGGCGCTGGTTCACTACCACGGCATATCGGAGATGGCCATGCATCGCGTCACGATCGGCCAATGTGAGATCACCGATCAGCTGATCTACTAGAGCAGGACTGCTCACCCCACAATATAGATATATTTGTACTAACACAGGGAACCAAAGAAGTTTTTACCCCGGATGTTTGAGCCCGATTTGGACTATTTTGTGATCTTGTACAGGCGAAAGGGCGGCGGACTTTCACAGGCAAATTCCATCATTAAAAACCTTCAATTCTTGTCGAGCTGTTTAAAATAGGGGGCGCGCGTCGGTATCCACTATCCGCCCTGGCTTTAGGTAGGAGGTAGGGACTAAACTGTATTTTGCTCTTCAGTAGGGCGCATTTTCGTGCCCGGTCGGTTTACTTAACTGTTAATTTTCTGTTGTTTTTGCGTGTTAACGCGTAGGCCCCTGAAGGGGCTGGGGAGGGCTATAGGGGTTTGTAATGTTATCAATAAAACTCTTTATCAGTTAGTTGCTGTCAAAAAAAACGAAATTATCCCCAGTAAGATCCCAATTTTGACCCCAAGTTTTCTCTTTCAGGAAATTTCGAGGGTTTTTGCGGAAAAATTCGCGTTTGAATCACAGTGTTCCCGGTTTCCGCAGCTGCCGCCAGATGGCGCCGATGTGGCCGGAGGTTGGAATCGTTTGGCTTTTGTTTGCGGTTGAGTGACAGACGTCAGTGTTGGTACAAGTGCGGGTGTTTTTGCGGGCACAAAAGCTGTTTTTTGCTCAACTGAAGGCAGGCAGGAGCCCCTGGGGGTGAGTAAAGCACTTACTTTTAAGCGAATTTGTCAGTTTTTTTGAAAGTTGCCCTGATGCCGTGCGGGCGTGGAGTCTTTAGGCGCGGGTTTTTTGCCCTTGGAGCACCACAACGACAATCGTCGTCCCAGTGGCAGTTGGGGGGCACAACGGCCCCCCAGTCGGGCCCCATTTGCATTTCAAAACCCGGTGTTTTTGGTTTCGTCCGCTGCTCCTAGATGGCGCCGATCGATCGGAAACGTTTTCGGGAAAAAAATAGTTTCCTGCTCAATCAGGGCCCGTAACAGTCAACATTGCCCGATTGACTAGTTTCTCAGGATTAAATGGCGAATGCCCCCCATTTAATGTGTTAATGAGCGCTGGGGAATTTTTGGGATTTTTCTCAAGTTTTTACTGGGTTTTTTTTTATCGAAATGTGGCGATTTTGAACAGTTTTTCCAAAGACGACGGACATTTCGAACGCCTCACTGTTGGTGCAAATGAGTGTGTTTTTTCGGGAAAAAGCCTCTTGTTTCCTGGAAAAAAGGCCTAAAACAGTCAGAAGCCGGTGGGGGTTTAACTGTTGCAACATTGCGCCATTTTGACTAGTTTTTCACCGGTTTTAGCAAGATTTCCTGTTGTTTCTACGCCGACTGGTGGATGCGCCCCCGTTAATTTGAGGCCTGAGGCAATTTGTCGATTTTTTTAGCCAAGTTTTCCAGGGGGTTTAATTCAAATCTTGCAGTTTTAAACGGTTTTGCTCGTGAATTCACCCCCCACGAAAAAAACACGTAAATTTCCCTTGTTTTCGCAAAGAAATTCCAGTTTTCCTGTTTTTTTTGCGAAAAATCCACCCAATTTCGGAAAAATTTGCGTTCGGATCACACTAATTTCGGTGTTTTCGGCCGCTGCTAGATGGCGCCGCGGATGCGCGTAATCGGAAGCGTGCTTGCGGTTGAGCGACAGACGTCAGTGTTGGTGCCAGTGAGTGTGTTTTTTCGGGGAAAATCCTGTTTTCTGCTGAAATGGTGGCTGTGATGGGAGCCTGGAACAGTCCGGAGCCTCTGGGGCCTTACCTGTTGGGTAAGTGACGTTTTTTTCGGCGATTATTGCCGCTTTTCGGGCAAGTTTTCGTGAGGTCTTGCGTGCGGGTGGAACGGTCGCAGGTAAAATTAGGGGCCCCTCTACCTATTATCTAATATAAATAATAATAAATCTACCTATTAAAAGCCGTTTGGGGCCCAAAAGCGCGAAAAAGCGGCCCTTTGACGTTTGAGCGTTGGTGGCGCTGACAGGAACTTCGCGAAGACGCCGCAGGGGAACAGCGGGTAATTCAGGACAGCGACTTAAACACTAGTGTAGACTTGCAGACTTCTCTATTCGCTCGGTCCTAAAGCGGCCCGAGCGCGGAAAATAAATGTACAATTATAATAACTCTCCTAAATCGCTTGGTTTGTACATTATTGTTGAAAGGGCGTATTTACAACAGTGACTCCTATTTACAATAAAAGACTAGTTTACATATTTACACAGTTCACAGTCGAACACTAATTCTACGGTTGGATTTTTTTGTTTGTCAATATATAGAGCTAAGTAACTTAAACACTTAAGGAGATCGGTCCCATGCCAAGGAACACCTGGCCGAGTACGTACACTAAACACTAAAAGAGAATGGATTCTGTAACTTAAAAACGAGTATTGAAATACTATTTGATGATACTGTAGACGGGAAATGAATTGGGTTTGATTTTGCCCTGGGGGGGCGACCGGCGGTCGCCCCACCGAATCAGTCGAAACACTTCGTAATTTTTCTTGCGCCGCCTGCCGGGAAATCATCCAATCGGCTTGACTTGAACAGTCAACTGTCAAAACTGTTGGTCCCCATGCACCGAGTCCGTCGCATTTTCCCCAGTTGGCGCCGTCGTCGTCATTATCGTCCACCCAATCAGGATCGCTCGAAATTCCCATTCAAAAACCCCTGCTACAGCGACGGCCACTAGCTGCTGGGGCGCTGATTGGCCGAACTGACCACCACCATCGGCTTAACGATGTACTGCGTCAATGGCACGACCTTGCCACTGATCTGTCCATTGATGCCTGCCAATCAGAACGAACCGATTAGATTGTGGGCGGGGCCCATTGCCTGAGGCCACCACTACCGTTTAGCTGCTGAGGCGTGGTGATGAAGTGGGTGGAGACCAGGGGCGTGAGCTCCGACAGCCCCTTATGGGGCACGATGGCGACCTTCTGCAGCACGAGGCCCTGATTCACTGGGTAGCCGGTCATTGGCAGCACTGATATGCCGCTGGCTGGCGCCACCTAGCGCAGCAACCGTTAGTTCTCGGCCGCAGGCGCGTTGTGCGCACACTCACCTCTTTGCTCGCAATGGGCTTGCCCAGAATGGGAATGGAAAGTTTGCTGTCGCCGTGCGCAGCCGCTATCACAGAGGTTGGCTGATTTATCACAGAGGTGGCGCTCACCTCGGCTAGAAGCCCCGAGCTGGACACGCCCGATGCCACACTGCCGGGAGTAGGGATGGTGACATCGTTGCCAACGTCGTCGCAAAACGACTCCGGCGCAGACGCGAAGCTCGGACTGAACGCGTTCGGGCTCATCGATGACGTGCTGGCAGATTGGAGTGTCAACGTCAGTAAAAGTCAATGGGGACGGCGCGCGTCAACTGACCTGGCGCTCGGACTGTTGGCGGCCTCGCTCAGACTGAGACTGCTGGTGCTCGACGGGATCTCCGGCATCAGATTGGAAAAATCCAGATGGTCCAGATGGCATTCCTTCTTAAGTGCGGCGAGCCGCTGCTGGTTGTTCATTTTTTGGCGCGCCAACTGCTCCAGCTCTTGCTCGAGCTCGGCTTCGCGCCGCTTCAACGCCTGGATGTACCTGGAAAACCGGGTCTAGAGGGCGCCCCCATCCACCTCCACCAAACCACTCACTTCAAAGCCGAATGCAGGATGCTCAAATTCGACGTTTTCTTCTCCTCCCCATTGTTGGGCAGCTGTTTCTTCAGCGCGTCGAAGCACTCCTTCAAGTGGGCACGCCTGCATTTCTCCAGCTTGTTGTGTACTTCGCGCGTGCCTGCAACAAGCCACGCCCCCCCCGGTCAATCAATGCCACGCCCACGCCGGCTGCCGTCACTCACCTGATCGAAACACCATCGGCGGCTGTTTGTACTTTTTCTGCTCGGTGGGCGCGGCCTCGTCGATCACCAGCGGGTTCATGATGTCAAACGAGTTTTGCATGGCGCGTCGCTGGCTCTGCGTCATCGTCGTGCTGGAAATGTGCCCATCCTGCTCCTTCCTGATTGACGTGCTTGCTGGCTGGGCCCCCACAACTGTCGGCGATACTGAAGCGTAGGTGATCGGAGCTGTCAAAACATTGACATGACATGAGTCAAAACATTGACATGACATGACATGAGTCAAAATATTGACATGACATGACATGAGTCAAAACATTGACGTCGATTAAGGGCGACTTACAATGTATGCGCTGCAGGAGGGTGGAGGAAATGTTGCTGCTGGAAATGACCACGGTTTGGGCGGCCGGGGGCGGCTGCTGCTGGACGTTGGGCGCGCAACTCTGCACGTCGAAGGCTTGGGTGGTCTGCAAAAAATGATCGTGAAATGACCACGCCCCCATCCGGAATTGATTAACCAAAAAAAAAATGTTCCCGGCCAATCGGCTGCGTGAAACGCAGATTGGATGACGGCAACCTGTCACTGGACCCCCCCCCGGGTGGGGAAAATTGAAATCGGGGCCCAATCGGCGCAAAATTCCCCCGCGCCACGCCCTCTATTAGAGCGAAAAATGGTCTCCCCAGAGGGGAACCCCCCCAATCAGCTGCGAACTTACCACAGTGTGCACGGGCGAAGGGGCGGCTGTGGCGATGGGGGGCGGTGCCCTGGGCGTCGCTAGGGCGGTGTCCTGGGTGGCCCTTATTTTCCGCTGTTCCTGCAATTCCAGGTACTTGGCCGCCTCCAGCAGGGTGTTGAGGCTCATTTTGTCGTGCACAGTGCTGTTGGGACCGACCGCGGGCTGAAACAGTTTGACGATTTTGCGATTGCGAAACCCACGTGGACTGTGCCACTTTCGACCACGTGCCACCACCAAGTGCACGCAGGAGCCGGCAACGCCGCCCGCAAGGTCAGCCCACCTTGCACCTTGGCGGCGGCGTTGCCGCCCCGTCGCGCATTGATAAACAGTGCCCGATCAACACCTGCAGTTGCGCCGTTGCCACCCAAACTAAACAGGGCGGCGTGCGTTTGGAGTGAAATCGGCCGGCAACAGTGGCGCGCTGCACGTGTTCAGCGGCCGGAGTGGGGGGCGAGAATGGCTCGGCAGTATTGAGTTGGTTCGGGGAGAACAAAGAAATTCGGACGCCCGAGGAAAAGTGGCTGCGGCTGGCAACAGGGGGCAAGGCGCGCCGCGTGCTCGCGCATTGTTGCCCGACCGCACGTAAACACACGCACCTATCGATCCCCACTCTTGCCCCAGTGCCCGCGAGCTGCGACTTGGGCGCCGATGCGGCAACGCTGGCCAACTGTAGCGTGCTCGAGTGGCCCCCCCACCCCGGGGACCACGCGACAATCGACACGCTTGTTGCGGGACTTGTTTTTTTTTGGGCTCAGGCCTGCTATGAGCAGGAAAAACCGGAACAATGGCCGCGATTTGCATGCGCGCGGGCCGCAATGTGGCAACGTGGCCGCTGTGCGAACTGACCTTTGCGCGAAAGTATGCGGGTGTCACAATAATTGACTGTTGTTGCAGTCGCACTTTGACTGGAAAGCGCCAACTGCACTGTCAAAGTGACAGGCGGCAATCTGGGCCGAGCAATGGAAGCTGTCAGTGGTCGGCGCAACGTCACGGGAGTTGAGAGGCAAAAGTCAACAAAACTGTCAGTCAAAGGCGACGTCTGACTATGTCAACTGTCACTATGACAACTGGGCATAGGAGGCGACGTTGCCGCCGGGTGCTGGCGCAGGTCAACGACCTGGGAGCAGCTGGGCGCCTGGCGCGGTTTGGCTGCCGGTTTTTTCCTTGGCAATTGGTCAGGATGAGGTCGCGATCAGGTCAGCGGCGGTACTTTTAGAGGTCAATCGCGGCCGCAGATTGCAGTTTAGGGGGCGTGGCGGGTTTGCGCCACTTTCGCAGCGCCGCCCCCCACCCAGGGACACTAATTGCTGCCAACAAGGATCGATCGGGCGTGGACAAACAAAGAAAAGCGCATTTTTAGCCGTTTTGGGTCGGCGAGCCGCCGACACGCCTGAGGACAAAGGAACGTGGTGCAAAAGCGGGCTGTTTGCTACGAGGGTGGCGCGAAAAGGGGCGACTTTGATAACAAGTGGTCACATCGGAGGCGGCGGGTTGCGAAAGGAGTGGCAAAGCGAGCAGGGGGAGCCGGCAACAGCGCCCATCACGTCGCCCATAATAAGGACACGTTGCAGGCATCGTTGTGTCTAGCGGATTTTCGCTGCGATTTGGCCAGACGGCTGGGGTTGGGCAGCGGGCCCCGCTGGCAGGCAGGCGCCAGCCAATCAGACGCAAGCACATGCAACGTCACATGCCAGCCAGCACCCCGCTGCACGCGCTGTTTTGGAGCCCTTTGTGGTGGCGCAGCTTACCTGCACGTCAAGCGGGTGTCAGCGCAGCGTCAGGCCAGTTTCGGTCGGATCCAAAGCCACCTGGGACTGGGGCGAGCCAAAGCGGCCAGCTTCGGGCGCCCGGTCACGTGCACTGGCACTGCCCGTATCGACCAATGGGAGCGGGGCGGCGCGGTTCCGTCAGAAGGGCGGCCCTCCTCAGGTGCTGCGTGACTCTTCCGCCTAATGGAAGCCCATGGGGGGACCGTGGTGGCGTCGCGTGCGGAACTTCGGTATTTTCGCCGCGGAAATCGGACCAGGACTGAATTGTGTGAATCAAACGATCAACATTTGGCGTGGCTCTGGCGCAGGGGGCCGCGGGGCGGAGCGGGGAACTACCGCGTGTCCGAGGTCTGGTGGTGCGCGGTTTCCAATGCGCCGCAGCCCCGATCCGCGCGCCGTCACCACGTTTGCATCGATAAATCGGCGCGGCAACGCCGCCAACCGCTCGAGGTCGGCGCAAAGGCGCGCTTGCCAGCTTGTCGGCACGGGCCCCAGCACAATAATAGTTATGGCATTTTTGATGCAATGAAAACGCCCCATTGCTTGCAACAGTGTTTTTTATTTCTGGCTGGTTTCTAGGAGAAGCTGAGCACGCGGATGGAGAGCAGCAGCTGCGCCAGCGCGTGCACGTTGAGCGGACAGGCGCTGCGCACCTTGTTGCGCACGAAGATGCCACTGGTGGTCGCCATCAAGTGGTACAGGTCTGCGCAGAACTGCCAAAACACTGTCACTGACTGACAGACAGGTGATGGGCGCATCGCTCACCTTCAACGACTCCACCTCCTGCTCGTTGAACGCCTGGCTGACTTCGGTGCAATCGATGAAGGCGGCGCGCAGCGGCGTCACCAGCAGCGTCTGATGGTTCTTCTGCAACCAGCAATACACCCTCAGTCCCACCCAGCGGGAAAAACGCAATTCCGCACCTGTTTGCTGCCCTTATCGGGGGCGTAGGGGCGCATTTGCAGGACGATTTTGCGCCTGCCCGCCTGCAGGTTCCAGCGCGACCACGCAAAATTGAAACAGCCGGAAATCTGCGCCACGTTGAAGTAGAGGTGCTGCTCCATCGGCCACTGCTTCTCGCTGCAGCCTGTCAAACAGCGGAATGACAGATTAGAGGGCGGGCAAGTGGGCGCCACCTACCGTCCACGTAGCAAAAGGCGTCAAAGCTGGGGAAAATGTCGATGCCTGCCTCCTTCATCAGCTGCAACAAGCACCAGGTTTATTTATTATTATTATTATTACTAATATTTATCTAATTATTTACCCGCTTGAGCCGATGCAGCTTCATATAAAGTCCCACGGAGTCCTGCAGCGTCATGTTGGGGCTGTTCTGCAGCTGCGTGATGGCGATCAGGCCGTTTTTGACGTTGAACTCCAGCATCAGGATGGCGGCTGTCAGTTGCACTGTCACCGACTCGCTAGCGGACAGCATGTGTTACTGGTTGCCTAGCGCATAGGTGCCACTCACTCCATCTCGGGCTTGATGTCGTAGGCTTGAAACGGCAGGTTGGCGTAGCGGCAGGTGGCCAACCCGTAGACGCCAAACACCCCGGTGCGGAAGCTCAACGTGCACTTGTCCTCGTTGTGCTTCACGTCGTGAATCTCCGCAGTCGACCACTGGTTGGTGGCGTCGTCCCACCGGCACACCACCGGCAGTTCCAGAAAAATCACATGCGGCGGCCACCTGCAAAACACCCCAGCGTGACTGCCCCAGCGCCATCTACGCGCGCAACCCGCGCCCTACTTCAGGCTGATGGCGATCAGCTTGTCCAGCTCCTCCTCCTGCCGCTTCTGCTCCTCCTCCAGCTCCTCGGGCAGCTTGCGCACGCTGGTCGACGAGCTGCTGGGAGCCTCCGCGGGAACGTAGGGGGTGTAGACCACCCGGAAGGGCAGCGTTTCCAGCTGTTTGGGCAGGGACACTGTGAAAAGGGGGCGCATCCACCATCCGGTCTAGACACGCGCGGGGCCTTACGGGTGGTGAGTGTCAGGTCCATGGTGACGAAGTCCTGCGGTTGCGGCGGCTGCGCCAGCAGGTTCAGGTGGAAAACCCCGCCCAGGATCACCAGGCGCCGCAGATTGATCACGTGATCGGGCGCGTCCACGCGCATGTTTTGCCTGGCGGCCTCGTACAGCTGGTCTGGAAAGGGGGCGGGGCTAGAAACGGGCGTGGCCGCCTAAGGGGCGGGTACCTTCCACCCACAGGGCGTGGTCGCTGGCGGTGGGCTTCAGCTGCTTGAAGGGCACCACTGGGATTTCCCCCGGCTCCTCCTCCCCCACTTGCCACTCAACATTCTCCTGCCTAGCGACTGTTTTTGCTGGATCGTCGCGGTTGTCGTACTTGTACTGCAGCTGGACGCGCCACTCCTTCCTGATGATGGCCAGCAGGTCTGAAACAGCGGGGATGAATAGGGGCGCGGCAAGTGAACAGTGTCTCTGGTCCCCCACCCATGGCATAGTCCGGAGGTGCTGGCGGCAGCGCATAGGTGGCGCTCAGGTCGCTCAGATGGTCGTACTTCTGGTACATGGCGCGGATGGCGGCGCCGTCGCAGTCGACGGTGGGCGGCAGCAGGGCGGCCATCTGCAGGGGCTCGAACGCGATGTCGGGGCGTGGCCTGCAATCGGTTTAGTGATTGGGCGAACTGGGTGTGGGGTGGGGGTTACTTGGGTGGTCGGCGCGGGTTGGGGAGCGGCACGGGGAGCATCACTCTGAGCCAGAGGCTCATAGTGACGTGGTCGTCCTTGAAGTGGAAGTCCGCCGTCGCGATGTTGAGGCGATTGAGGTTGTGCTCGACGTTGCGCAGCAGCCGGTAGGTGGCCACGTCCAGGCTGGCCGCCTGGTATTGGCGGAACAGTCCGCCGATCTGTCAAGGAAGCGACGCTGATTGGTCGGTTCGGTTTTTTTTGGTGGGCGTACCCATTTCCAGTTGGCCAACTTTGGGTCCGTCGGATGACTGGTGTCAATCAGCTCGTCCAGGGCGTCCATGAGCTGTCAACATTTGACGTTTGACGGTTGGGTGGGTGAAGCATTGGGTGCTGCGCACCTGAATGGCGTCGGACGTGCGGGCGGATGCGCCCTCGATGGTGGTGGTGTCCAGGTCGAGCGCCCATAGATGGAGGTAGGTGTTCATCTGGTCGCACATGGCCGGGCTGGGCAGCTTGCCGCACTCCAGGTAGTTCTTCCAGTCGATCACCGCCTTCTCCTGCTGGCCGCTGAGGGCGTGGTGGTCCAGGATGGCCCGGATCTGCTCCTGGGTCTCCTGCAGCTGCTCCTCGCGCCAGCCCTGCTCCAGGGTCTCGCGCTTGTCCTTCTCGATCGCCGCCAGGCGATCCTCCTCCTTTTTCCTCTGGATCAGCTCCTCCAGCCTGCAAAGTGGGGGGGGGGGCGGTTAGGGTGGGGTCCCCCAGGGCTTGGCCTGGCTGACCTTTTGGCTTGCGCCTCCATGTCGGCCTTGAGCTTCTCGGCCACCTCCGCGCTCATTTTCGCCTTGTCCTTCTTGGAGGATTTCTTCTTGGGCGCCTGCAACAGGGCAACGTTAGTGGCGAGCAGGGCGTCGTCCACTCCTAAAAAAAGGGGGAAGAATTAGGGGTTCCCTTGGGGGTTAAGGGGGTCGTGACCCAGGTCGCGGGCGGCCTTCTTCAGCTCGTCCAGACGCTTCTTCAGCTCTCCAGGGGCGCCGTCGCCCGGCTTCTCCTCCTTGGCTGTGGAGGTGAGCGCCGGTTTAGCTAGTTAGTTCGAGGTTTTGGGTCGACAGACCTTTGGGGGGCTTGCGCCCCTTTTTCGCCGCTTTTTTCGCCTCCTTCTGCTTCTGCTTGGCGCCCTGCAAGGAGGGGGTTTTAGCGCCCGCAGGCAGGTAGATGGGTGGGGACCTTGAGTGACTTCCGCTCCCTGGTCTCTGACGGTGTTTCTTCCGCGTTTTCGCTCGAGTCCGAGGACAAATCCGAGTTTCTAAAGGGGGCAGGGAAACTTTACGCGCTGGCGCAGCGGGGGCGCTTCGGGTACCTGGAGGGGCGGTTGCTGTCAGCTGTCGCTTGGCCTGGGAGCGCGCTCTGCCGCTTGGGGCGTTTGGGCGCGTCCTGGGGGCCCCCTGGGGTCGGAGGTTCGGGCAAAGTGCTGCCCTGTCCGGGCCCATCGCCCTCAGGGGGCTGGAGCGAACTTCCCTGGTCCTCCTCCGGGGTTGTTTGGGTTTCTTCGCGCGCAGGCGCGCGCCTTTTGGCCTTCTTGCCCATGCTGCGCCAGTTGACGTTTGAACGCAGTGACAGCGACACTCAAAATGACACTTGATTTCAGGCGCAGCCACCAGCTGGTCGCAGGCGCATCCACCATCCCGTCCAGGGCGGGTCATTGACCCCCCAGGTCCAAAGGGGCCAAAAGTCCGGGCGACTGATCTACGCAAATGGGGGCCAAGGAGCGCGCATGTTTTGCAATCCGATTTGAATGGCCATTGTATGCAAATGGGGGCTGAGCGGGCGCGCCAGTCCGGGCCGCACTCGACGCTGCTCCAGCATGGCGGACGCAAGCGTTCCAATCCCGCAGTACTTCGGCGGCAAGAACGTCTTCATCACGGGCGGCTCGGGCTTCATTGGCAAGGTGCTGATCGAGAAGCTGCTGCGCAGCTGCCCCGACGTGGCGCGCATCTTCGTGCTGCTGCGCCCCAAGAAGGGGCGCAGCCCG